ACTCTTTTTCCCACTCCAAAACTTCAAGAGAGCACCCAAATGCTTCAACTCACAAGGAAAACAACTCTTGAGCAAGGTGTAGAGCTCTGAGGGTGAATGGGGACGAGATTGGGACAGAATGAGAGTTTAAATAGGGTGAAAACCCTTGAAACTTAGGGTTTCATCTAACAGTGGTGACTCACCGAGTCCAGGATATGGACTTGCCGAGTCTCCAACTTATAACGTGTCCCGGGTCCCGGCTCTACTCGGCGAGTCGGACCTATGACTAGCCGAGTCCAAGGCTAAAAATGGAAAACACTCAAATAAGATTTACATACCAGGAACCAGGTGCTACAAAAGGTCTGAATCCTCCTTTATTTTCGATTTATCTTCTGTTTTGATGTAATTCTAGTGATTTTAAGATTTTAGTTTAATGATGTAAGGATTGTTGTCGGAAAAATCATGTTTCTGCCAAAATACCTCCACCACCACTCTTCTACACCAAATTTCATAACCAAGTTCCTTTATAACATAATGATTTGTGTATTTATATTATGTGTATGTACATATCTATTTTTATGTGTTTTTGTAAGTATGTATAATATATGTATATGTGTAATGTATGTATAAACACATGTATTTATGGTTAAAACAAAAAAATTATGTATGTTTATATATGTATGTTTGTTTGTTATGTGTGTATTTGTATTTTTATATATAAGTGTATGTGTTTATATATGTATATTTGTTTTACCATTTATAATTGTAATGTATGTATAAGTGTATTTTAATATGTTAATTTTTATATATAGGTAAGTATCATGTACAAGTCTATATGTTTATATATATATATATATATATATATATATATATATATATATATATATGTGTGTGTGTGTGTGTGTGTGTGTGTGTGAGTGTGTGTACGCGTGTATATGTATAAGTGTATGTATATGTATGGTCACCTAACTTGTGTATTTGTATACAATTTCAAATGTATAATGCTATAAAGGAAATTGTATTTGTATGTATATGTAATATGTGAATTTGTATGTATATGTATGTATGTAGTATATGCAAATTGGAAACTACAATGCTATAATGAAAAAAATGAGAAAAACAAAAAACAAAAACAAAGGAGGATGATATAATGGAAAGTATTATTTTTTATATGTGTATTTGTATGTATAGAAAATTATATACATAGTTTGTGTATTTGTATGCCATTTGGAAACTATAATGGTAAAGATGAAAAATAAACAAAGCAGGATGCTATAATAGAAAGTCTATTATTTATGTATATGCAATGTGTGTAACTTCTATTCATATTATAATTTTACAGGCTATATATGGGGTTTAGTTGGGCAATACTCTTCTACGAGATGGTAGATGTTATGGGCCTCGGACATGGAGGTGATGGAGTCGGGGATCCACCACCTCTAGGAGGCTTTGGTCGTGAACAACACAGACAGGATGGTAAGTCTTATTATGATATACTTACTAGCTATTTTTATCAATTTATTATAGTTTATCGTGACTAATATTTGTAATTTGTTAATTTTTATATGTAGATGTGTATTATGTACAAGTCTATATGTTTATATATATATATATATATATATATATATATATATATATATATATATATATATATATATATACATATATGTGTGTGTGTATTTGTATACAATTTCAAAAGTATAATGCTATAAAGGAAATTGTATTTGTATGTACATGTAATATGTGAATTTGTATGTATATGTATGTATGTAGTGTATGCAATTTGGAAACTACAATGCTATAATGAAAAAAATGAAAAAAAATGAAAAAAAAAAAAAACAAAGGAGGATGATATAATGGAAAGTATTATTTTTTATATGTGAATTTGTACGTATAGAAAATTAGATACGTAGTTTGTGTATTTGTATGCCATTTGGAACTATAATGTTATAGATGAAAAATAAACAAAGTAGGATGCAATAATAGAAAGTCTATTATTTCTGTGCATGCAATGTGTGTAACTTCTATTCGTATTATAATTTTACAGGCTATATATGGTGTTTAGTTGGCCAATATTGTTCTACGTGATGGCGGATGTTATGGGTCTCAGATATGGAGGTGATGGATTCGGGGATCAACCACCTCCAGGAGGCTTTGGTTGTGGACAACACGGACAGGATGGTAAGTCTTATTATGATATATTTACTAGCTATTTTTATCCATTTATTATAATCTATCTTGACTAATATTTTTAATTATATTTTTTAGGTGAGCTTCCCAAAAAAAGAAGAGGCCTAGCAAAAAACATCCAACTATCAAAGCTGATACAACAAATAAGGAAAAGCCCCTGGATTTGGATTTCAACAGAGAGCTCATATATTCCCCTATTGGGAACCATGGTAATTGGTTTACCCATGAGATTGGGAGGCATATGTCAATGAACATCCCTTTGAACGTATCTGGTTGAGAGAATGTTTCCCACGCTTTAAGGAATGCCATAGTCATGCATTTAAAGGTAACTTGGATGATATTTGAAGTTTAGTTGTGATTCATATTTAATTAACTAACTTTTTTATATTTATAGAATAAGTTTGATTTGGATAAGGTTAACTTGGATCCCGAGTGTGCTCAGTTGTTGCAGAGCATTGATGCAACTTTACAAAGAGTTTATAGAGGCTGAAAAAATAAAGCGCATACTTATTTTCAGAATATTGGGGGGGGGGGGGGGGTTACAGATATCCGAAGGGCATTATCCCCCCCCCCCCCCCCCCCCGCGCGGTGATGGTATGCCACGTGAAAACAGGCGTAAGCAGTTAAACATTTTCAAACGCCTGTATTTTTAAAGCGTTCGACGTCAAACAAAGGAGTCTATGCACAACAAGTTGTAAACAGAAGGGGACCGTGCTCGTATAGCAATGCATGTTTCAAAGAAGTAAGCTAGGATATATTTAACTATTTATTTAAATTATAATTAATCTAATTTGTAATGTTATATAGGACATCACTTGAATCGAAGCATTTTGTAAGGCTAATATTGATCGTTAAGGGGTATTTAGTAGTCCTACAGTCGAGCAACAATACTTAGGTGGTTAATTTGTACTTTCATATAAGTCTTTATATCGTTAAGGGATATTTAGTAATTTAATTTTTATGATATTTATCATTTTTTGAAAATACAGAATGCTTTACTCCTTGAGATCAGCCAACAAACTTAAACTTCTTCTAAAACCAACGGTCTAACACAAAAGGATGCCCAAAATTGTTTTGAAATAATATTGGATGTTCGATAAGGCCATATTAGAGGCATCGAGCGTAAGCCTTCTACGGTGGTGTCGATCAGGAACAACCACTGACACTGCCATCGCTACAATCATAGGTGACAAAACTATTTAATTTTGGTAATTGTTTCAAATGTTAGTAATTGTTGGTTTAGTAATAGTTTCAAATGTTGGTAATTGTTAGTTTGCTAATAGTTTATATGTTTGGTAATTGTTAATTTATGAAAGTACAATGCTATAATGGAAAAAATGAAAAAGAAAGTACAATGCTATAATGTGTTATATGCAATATGTGTAGTTTCGTAATTGTTAGTTTATGAAAGTACAATGCTATAATGGTATTTTGTAGTTTGGTAATTGTTACTTATAGTACAATGCTAGAATATGTTAGATGCAATATGTGTAATTTGCTAATTGTTAGTTTATGAAAGTATAATGCTATAATTTTGTTTTGTAGGTTGGTAATTGTTAGTTATAGTAAAATGGTATAATGTGTTATATGTAGTATGTGTAATTTGGTAATTGTTAGTTTATTAAAGTACAATGCTAGAATTTTATTTTGTAGGTTGATAATTGTTAGTTATGTACAATGCTATAATGTGTTATATACAATATGTGTAATTTGGTAATTGTTAGTTTATGAAAGTACAATGCTATAGTGTAATTTTGTAGTTAGGTAATTGTTAGTTATTGTACAATGCTATATTTTGTACTTAGCTTGTATGTTTTGTATATAAAATGTTATAATGTTGGTTTAACTTATAAGACTATGTTGTTTTATTTGTAGTTGGAAATGCTTCAAACAATGTTAAAAGATCTGGCATGTAGTGCCACACTTGAAGATTGGTTTCGTTCATTGCCATAACGAAATGAAACCGGAGGAAACTAGGAAAGTGATGATGATGAGTAGCTAGTTGTAGGATTTTTGTATGTTTTGTTTGTGTAAGTATTTTAGACTAGTATTTTTGATATTTTGTATTGTGTAAAATTGGATTAGTATAATTAACCGATGTTGGGTTAATGTTTTGGAATGGAAGGATGTATGATTTGCTTAATTAATATCATGACAATTTTTATACTTTTTATACAGTTTTGTTTTTTAATGTGAAATAAAAAAATATACCAATACCATCGACGCCTTTAGTGGCAGCTGGGTATTAGCATTGACAACCCTTTAGCAGTGACATGAAGCATTAGCGACAACAAGCTGAGTATGAGCAACAAAGCATCAGCCGCGACGCATGTCGCAGGTAATACACTAATTTCTTGTATTGAAATAGGAAACAACAGTAATAGTTCTCTCATACCATATTGAACAAACAAGGGAGATAGAAAAAGTGGCTAGATCCTTTAATTACAATATAAAAGAAAACACAATTATATATAGGAAAACTATTTAGGATTAGCCTTATATAAGAAAACTATTTAGCAATAGCCTAATTAAATGGCTAAACAAAATCACCGAACATAAAATAATTCCAATACTTTATTATGCTCATATTGATATCATCCTCGTATTTTCCCCTATATGGTGAATTACAACTGGTTAACAAAAAGTTTCGAAGACTCTTCCGTTCATATGGTATATTATTTGTTACTGACAGATGAACAGTACTAAAGATGCGTCCCAATGAAAGATGGTGATAA